CTCTTCCTCCTCCTCCTCCTCCTCCTCCTCCTCTTCCTCCTCTTCTTCCTCCTCCTCGCCCTCTTCCTCCACGCCCTCCTCCCCTCCTCGGGTCGCCTACGGCCCCGGGGGAAACCGTCCAGTCCTCCGAGCTCGCCCGCGACAGGAGGGCGTCCATCTGCGCGGTGGCCACGTTGATGCCCGCCTCTGGGGTCTTATGATGTTCCAACATACCTCAGCCTTGACCACCAGAAGGAGTTCCGAACACCAAGAAAATACCGAACATCGAAGGTGCTCACGTGTCGGGCCCTATACTTATTCGACACTGTTTCGACACTTTTCAGGGTGCTCGAAATGATTGCTGGGTTGTGGTCGTTAAGTACGATAGGAGCAACACAACTCTGGGGAAGCCCAAAGCCACTGCACCGACCTTGCAGACGTGCTCCAGCGGACTTTCGCGTGGATTCCTGTCACTGCAAACGCCGGAATGTCGAGCGAACAACGGAATGAAATTCACGTGATTTGTTTTTAGTCTCCATTCCTGGCCAAGAGAAATCCGTATGGAATTCACTTCGAATTCTGGAACGAAATTATCCGGGACACTCAGGGCCCATCCTATTGTTTCCCGAATAACGAAATCCGCTCTGCGATGTTGGCGCCATGACAAAGGCACCGATGCCGCTGCTCCCCGGACCTCCCCCGGGGTGCGTTCGCACCAGGATCTCGAGGCGGATCGCGCGGTGGCGACGAAGGCCTTCCAGGAGGACGAACAGGGGGGGAAAACGGGCGAACAAAAAGCGGTATGGTCGGGGGCGACGACGGGGGCGAACAGCCCGGGGAAGAACAATGCACGTATCCGGGGGCGCCAGGTCCAGGCTTTCGGCGAGGCTCCCGGGCACATACGTGCATTGAGCAGGGACCGACCGTCCCGGCATTCCTATAGCCCTACTACGAAATGTTCTTAGAATCCCAAAAATGTTCTACGAACAAACACAAGGCTCTTAGAACATAAACCCGATGTGTCAAAACAAGACAGCCGCATCCAGAAATGTTCTACGAACATTTCGTGGGAACCACAAGAGGTTCTTAGAACATTGTTTGGTAGGCCTATAGGCGCGCCAGGACGCTCCGCCACCGCTTGAGTGCAATGCCCGCCCCTGGGCGACTCGCCCTTCTCGTCGTCTCCCATGTGGCTACCTTTTCCTCCTCGGAGCCTCGTCGCACGGGAAGGCCTCGAGGCCCTCCAGCGCCAGCTCGTAGCCCTCCAGGCGGGAGAGCGCCGCCGCGGCGCCCGAGGCGCCGAGCCGAGCGCGCAGCCCGGCGTGCAGCTGCTCGGCCACCTTGGCCGTCTCCCCAGCGGCCCACGCCTGCAACCGCTTCAGCCGCTCGGGCACCGTGAACTGCTCCGCGCACAGCAGCGCCGTCAGCAGGGACAGGAGGCGCTCGGTGCACCCGAGCCCCGCGGCCTCTGAGCAGGGACCGACCGCCCTGGCAGGCCTGTAGGCCCACCACGAGCTGTCCTCAGAGCCTGCAAGTGTTCTAAGAAGCATCACCATGTTCTGAGAGCATGAGCCCGATGTGATAAAACAGGACAAGCTCAGCCAGACATGTTCTAAGAGCATTTCGTGGAGACCGCAAAAGGTTCTTAGAACATCCTTTGGCAAGCCTATAGGCGAGCTGGGACGCTTCGCCACTGCTTGAGGCCTGGAGCTCGCCGTCCAGGAAGCGGCGGGCGGACTGCCCGGCCTGCGCGGCCCGCTCGCAAGACCGGTCGTCGAACACGGCGCGGGCGCCGGCGAAGACGCGCAGGTTGTTCTGGGGCTCGCCCAGCATCTCGACCAGGGCCTGCCAGGGCTCGACCCAAGTAAACGGTGTTTTTCCCCATATCCTAAGATGGGGTTCTTGTTATTACTTGGACGCCTCCTACTGCCTCTCCCTCCTCCTCTTTCCTCCTCCCCTCCTCATACTCAGACTTACTCATACTCAGACTTACCCATACTCAGACCTACTCATACTCAGACTTACTCACACTCAGACATACTCATACACATACTTACTCATACACAGACTTACTCACACCCAGACGTACTCATACACAGACTCACTCATACCCAGACTTACTCATACACAGTATTAGTCATACTCAGACTTACTCATACCCAGACGTACACATACACAGACTTTATCATACACAGACCTACTCATACCCAGACTTACTCATACACAGACTTACTCATACACAGACTTACTCATACTCAGGCATACTCATACTCAGACCTACTCATACTCAGACTTACTCAACACACATCAGATTTGGAGGATGTCTCAAGCGGGGCGCTGGTTTCAGCACCCCCAAGGGGAGCCGCCAGGGGTGGTTGCACGGGCTCGTTCGCGGCCATTTTGTAGGGATGTCTCAGGCGGTTTGCCTGTTTCTGGGCTCAACATCCTTCGCTTGGAGAGCAGATTGTGAGGATGTCCCAGGCGGGGCGCTGGTTTCAGCACCCCTAAGGGGAGCCGCCAGGGGTGGTTGCACGGGCTCGTTCGCGGCCATTTTGTGGGGATGTCTCAGGCGGTTTGCTTGTTTCTGGGCTCAACATCCTTCGCTTGGAGAGCAGATTGTGAGGATGTCTCAGGCGGGGTGCTGGTTTCAGCACCCCTAAGGGGAGCCGCCAGGGGTGGTTGCACGGGCTCGTTCGCGGCCATGTTGTGGGGATGTCTCAGGCGGTTTGCATGTTTCTGGGCTCAACATCCTTCGCTTTCGGAGCAGATTTGGAGGATGTCTCGAGCGAGGCGCTCATTTTCACCCCCCAGGTGGGCCAGATTTTGAGGACGTCTCGATCGGTTTGATTGTTTTGGTGGCCAGGCTCGTGGGCGCAGATTCTTCTCAGGATGCCACAGGAGGCTCCAACAGGCTCCAGGAGGCCCCAGGAGACCACATGAGGTCCCAGGAGGCATCAGGAGTCCACAGAAAGACTCAAGAGGCCACAGGATGTCCCAAGAGGCTCCAGGAGGCCCCAGGAAGCTCCAGAAGGCCTCAGGAAACCACAGGAGGCCCCAGGAGGCAACAGGAAGCGCCAGGAGGCCTCGGAAGGCAACAGGAGGCCCCGAGAGGCCCCAGGAGCAGGAGGCCTCAGAAGGCAACAGGAGTGGCTCCAATCCCATGTGTTTTACGTCTGCTCCTATCGATTGGGCCTCACCTGGAGCACGATTCTTTGATGTTCTACGTATGTTTCTATAGATGGTCCTTCTCCTGTGTACACAATCCTAAATGTTTACTCATGTTCCTATGTATTGGGCCTCTCCTGGGGCACGAGTCCTTGGTGTTTTACGCGTGTTCCTATAGATTGCCCTTCTCCTGTGGCTCTAATCCGCAATGTTTTATGTACGTCTGTTGCTATAGATTGCGCCTCTCCTGGGGCACGAAACCTTCCTAGGAGGTCCCAGGAGGTCCCAAGAGGCTCCTGGAGACCCCAGGAAGCCCCAGTAGGTTTCAGGAGGCCCCAGGAGGCCCCAGGCTCATGCACAGAGACGCGCTCGTACTACTGAGGCTCATTCACACTCCAATTCATTCGCAGTTAGATTGATGTCCAGACCGTCACAACTGAAGCCCGTTAATATTCGAAAGCTCTTGCGCCTAGACATTCACGGCGGACAGGTCCATGCGAGTAGATGCACATATGGGGAGCTCCACGCAGTGAATAATTGTTTCGTCACTTTGCTCGTTTCGGCGTCGGCTTCCCTCGCTGTGTCTTCGTCCCGCCTCCGCTGGACCAGGAAAAAGTGACACCATCCCACCTACGGCCCCACGGGTCTCAACGGATACCAGGAGATCCGGCGTGGGCTCCCGCGTGGTACGCACCACGGCGCCCGATGGGCCTACAGCGCACCATGGAGGGCCGCAGATGGGCTGGTGTCGTTCGTGGTTGTTTGGAGGGGGGTCCATGTGCTGCAGAACGAGGTCGAGACGAAAACGGCCCCTCGAACTCGCAAGATCGGGGGCGGCCAAGAGGGGGGTGTCCAAGAGGGGGGGGTGCAAATCATGGCCGGCGGCATGTGCGCGGCCCAAGGGGGGAGGGGGGGCCGGGGGCGTCATGAACTAGCAAGAGCGCGCCGTGAAATCCGAGGAGAATCGTGGCCCACGCCATGAGATCCCCCCCCCTAGTCATCACCCCCCTGCTTGCCGCCCCAGACAGGAGCAAGACTCCGTGTGGATCGAGGCCCCCGGGGCCTGCCGCACCAGCCGCGGCTGCTTCCCGAGGAGCTTGATGGGGTCGAAGGCCGAGACCCTGCGGAGGCGGGGGCCGCGGGGCCGAGCCCCGCCCCCGCGTGCGGTGGCAGCTCACGGGAGCCCCCCATGGATGGGCCCCTTGTCCACCACCGCTGCCATGAGGTAGGCGAGGAGGAGGAGGAGGAGGAGGACCTCCTTGTCCTCCCTTCTCCCCCGTCCTGCACATGGTGGTGGTGGTGGAACATTTGCCCATCACCCATACCATGTTGCTGGCCCTTGCGAATCGACGCTGGTCGACGCTGATCGACGCTAGGTCGACGCTACATCGGCGCTATCGCATCGACTCCCACACGCCAAACGACGCTCGTCGACGCTAAAAACGGAATTAACAGGGTACGCCAAGCTGCCATGATTTGCTACCGAACCTACTGGCGTGGCCCTGGCCCCACTGGCCGACTTCCGTTTGGAGGCAACTACGGGGAGGCCGTCGTCGGAAGGATGAGGGAGGGTTGAGTCCCATTTTGGGGGGCTGCTGCGTCGGATCAGGCCACGCAAGAAGCGGGAATAAGCCAGACGAAGCGGGATCAAGCCGGATTCAGCGGGATCAAGCCGGATTAAGCGGGAGTTCGGAGCAGGGCAAAGTCCGAGTTGGACCTCCCAGGAGCTGCTTCCGAACTTGCATAAGCTGCTCGCCTCGGTCTTCGCGGGGCACGGCCTCCCCTCGGCGGGTGACCCGGGGGGCCTGAGGCATCGTGGCCGGCGGGGTGGGGACACAGTCGGCCCGTCTCATAGGGATGTGCCATAAGGGTGCAAGGGCTTTGGAAGGCCATGTCGAAGCCATCGAAGCTCTCTTCAAGCGGGGCGCGGCCAACGAAAGCGGCCAAGGATGGACCGAGGAGGCGAGGATGCAAGGGTATCCGTGGGAAAATTGCCCATCCTTACCATGCGGGTTGACTGTAGGTTTGACGACCGTGACCTAGTGATCTTGCCCTCTGCCAACTTGTGGTACTGAAGCAGGGTGTACCGCGGGGGCAAGCCTAGAGGAGCACAAAGAAACTGCACTAGCACAAACGCTCGGAGGTGCGCCTGGATCTTTTGGATCCGAGCTGGACCCCCCTCCCTCGCGCGCGAGGAGCGCGCCAGGGGCGGCGCCGCCAGAGGAAGCTCCAGCGCAGATCCAAGAAATCCGCGCGGACCTCGGAAGTGTTATGTTCACAGTCGGCCCGTATCACGAGGATGCGCGATCAGGATGCAGGGGCCTCCGGACGCCTGCTTCGAAGCTCTTTTCGAGCGGGGCGCGGCCAACGAAAGCGGCCAAGGATGGACCGAGGAGGCGAGGATGCTAACCCAGACACCCGACGTCATGACTTTTTCGCTGCGTCGGCCCCCCGAGGTCTGAACCTCCTCCCCAGGACCGCTTTTTTTCATCCCGAGTCGTCTCTTGACGGTCCCGAGGCCCGGTGACGGCCCCCAGGGGCCGAAAATGGCGAAACACCTCCCGTCGTGATTTTTGGTCACTACTCTTAGGTCGGGCATGTCCCCCATACAGGTGGATCTTGGACGAAAAATTACAAATACGTTAAGAAGATGCGCAACAATGACAAACAAAAAGGCTCAAGAAACAGTTCCCAGACTATGTTCTAAACGATTTTGGGGCATTCCTCCTGTCGAGGGACAGGCCCGACTTGACTCTGCTCGCGGGCAGGTCTGGGGGGAGGATGGACAGACCCCCCTTTAGTAAAACGTGGTTTAGTGAAAACGACCTGAGGCCCAAACCTGGCGAGCGCAAGCCTGGAAAATATTGCGGCCACGGCGCCCTCTCGAGAACCGAAAACGGACAATTCACTAATCGACGTGTCACTGTTGGGGGTTCTGTCCACCCCCGACTGGGGGGAGGTCAGAAATAAAGGTGGATTTTCGGCGAAAAGTTGAAAATACATTAAACATGCACGACAATGACAACAAATGCTCAAAAAACAACTCCCAGACTAATCTCTAGACGATTTTGGAGCATTCCTCCTGTCGAGGGGCAGGCCCGACTTGACTCTGCTCGCGGGCAGGCCCCGGGAAGAGGCCGCCCCTCCTCCCCGTGCGGGCCGGCGGCGCGCCGCTCCCATTTTTCCCGTCCCTCCGCGGCCCTGCCGCTCCACCAGGCCGCACTTCGGCTTGATCTCCACGGTCACCATGGGCCGGGGTCGGCCAAGAGGGGGGGGGGTCCAAGATCGAGTGCTGCTGGAAGTGCCCCTGGCCCCAGGTGCCCCCAGGACCTCCAGTAGGCCCCCACGCCCTCCAGAGCACCCCTCACGAGGCCCAGAGGGCTCCAGGGGCTCCAAACTTGGGCGAAAAGCTGGGGGCACCTTGGGCCGGAGGTACCTTTAGCAACCCCCGACAAGAGGGGGGGGGCAAATCATGGCCGGCGGCATGTGCGCGGCCCAGCAGGGGGGCCAGGGACGCAGTGAAACAAGAAGAGGCGCCCTAACATCGGGGGTGGATCTCATATGGCCCACGCCATGGTGTCCACCCCCCCCTACAGTCACCACCCCCCTCCTCGCCGCCCCCGAATGGGGCACGCCGCCACCGGCGGGGCGAGCAGGTTGGGGAGCCGCAAGGCCAGGACGAGCCCGGAGGAGTCGCGCGCCTCCACGTCCAGGCGCCGGGAGACCCGCTCGGGCGGCCGCGCCGGGAAGATCGCCTCGCCGCCATGCTGCTCCGAGCCGTGCTCTCCAGGGCCCGAGGGGCCCCAGGCAGCGGGTCCGGCGCCCGAGAAGAGTCTGTGTCGACACGGTGTCGCGCGAGCACCGCCTCCCAGGGCCCGACGCGCGAAAGCCCTCCAGCTTCGGAGCTCTCCGTCGGTGCTCGAGATTCTGCCTGGCGCTCCGGCCCAGAGCAGGTTGGAACATCATGAGCCTCGTCGATGGCACGCATGCTCTCAGGGGAGAGGCCGACAAGCGTACCTGCGGGCAAGACTTCCATGCATGTGAGCGTTTTCTGAATCATTCGGCCTTTCGACACTGGGCGGAAGGGGGGGCGGGCAGGAAGGAGGGGTGTCTGGCTCTGGACCTCTGCTCAGTGCGACAGTTCGGAACAGTGCGTGCTCTGGGGGAGACTCCATCTGCTCGAACCAGACGCCCCAAAAACAGCCAAGATCTACTCCATGGAGGGGAGGGGGTGCGAGGGCCCGCGCCGATCGGCAAAACAATGAATCAGAAAACGATCACCATATCCGCGGCGTCTTGGATGTTTTTGGAAAGGGCTGTCAAAAAACCAAGACGCGGTACTTATCGATAATGTTCTGGCCTCTTCCCAAGGGCCACCTTGCTGTCCATGTCGATGGCATCTCGGGATTTGTTGGACGGGACTTCGAACATCCGAGACGCAATGGATGGAAGTCGGAGGTGAGATCGCAATGAAACGGAGAGCCCCCCACTGGGAAGTCACATTCGGTTTCGTGTTCGTGCTGTGCGTGCGGGCGAGGCGAAGCTGTGTGGGCGGGCGAGACAAGTGAACCCTGGGCCCAAAGACCGCCCCCCCCCCCCCCGGCTTGTCCGGCGGTGGCCAGGGGTGTCCCGCGGGTGTCCGTGTCTCGTCGGCGTCCCGTAATGAGATCCGTAGTGAGAGCAATAGTGAGGCCGATAATGAGAGATCGACAGTGAGACCGATCAGAGGAGATCGATGAGGATGTTGACAGCGAGGTCGACAGCGAGATCGATAGTGAGATCGATAGTGAGAGCTATACCAAGCTCGATAGTTCGGTTGATAGTGAGATCGACAGTGAGATCGATAGTGAGATCGATCGTGACATCGATAGTGAGGTCGAGCGTGAGATGGATAGCTCGATAGATAGCTCGTTCGATAGTGTGATCGATTGTGATGTATCGTGACATCGATAGTAAGATCGGTCGAGTGAGATCGATAACGAGATCGATAGTGGTTTCCCATCGATGTCCCGTAGTGAGATCGATAGTGAGATCGATAGTGAGACTGATAGTCAGATCGATCATAATGTCGTCGATAGTGAGATCGAGAGTGAAGTCGACAGTGAGCTCGGTCGGGTAATATCGATGATGTGAACGGTAATACATCGATAGCGAGATCGATAGTGAGATCGATCGAGTGAGATCGATATTGGTGTCGCGTCGGTGCCCCATAGTGAGATCGATCGTGAGACCGATAGTGAGAAGGACTGTGCGGCCGATTGTGAGATGGACAGTGACTTCGATAGTGAGATCAATACTGAGATCGATAGTGAGATCGGCAGTGCAAGATCGACAGTGCGAGATCGATGGAGCGAGACGCTGGTTCCTCCCCCCCGAACCTCCTCATCACCCGAAGGGTGGTGGTACAGGCATGGATTCTGGTCCGCAGTACCGGGCTCAACGTAGTCGTCTCCGAGCATCCTCGCGGCCATGCTGTTCGCGAAGCTGCAGTAGGACCGGCACACGCTGTTGTCCAGCTTGCGGAAGCGCAGCGCCAGCCCCTCATGGCCACCACCAGGCGGCCCATCGATGGCGCAGACGACGTTGACGTTGCCCTCCATGATCCGCCGCCGCTCTCCGTCGCGGCCGGTTCGTGTCTCGGGCGCCTCCCCGTCATCTTGCTGGTGCGCACTGCGAAATGGCAGCCAGAAGCTAGACTGAGGTCGGGCCTGCCCCCCTACAGGCGGATTCTGGAGAAAGGTAAAGGAAACCCTAGAAGAACCTCAAAATGGCAAAACATTAACATAAAAACACCCAAAGAGCCTCAAGGCTTGGCTCCAGGGGCCAGGCCAAGGGGCCGCAAGGGCCAAGCCAAGGGGCCGCCCGGCCCGCCGCCCCCCCTTCATCGCGCCCTCTCACCACGGGCCCGCCCGCCGGCCCGCGGGGGGCCCTGCCGGCCGGGCCACGTGGGGCCCCCGCGGCGCCTCCCGGCTCCTCTGCGGCCTGCTGCTGGGGGCCCTCGAGCGCGCGGGCGGCGCCGGCGGCGAGCTGGAGGCCTGGGTTTGGGCGTGGCTTCATGGGGGGGTCACACATGGGGGGTTCCGAAAAGGTCCCCTCTCGTGCCCCTTTCGGGCCCCTCCGGAGCGACAGGGGGCTCGTTTAGGTACCGTTTGGGTACCTTTTCGGACCACCCGCGACACCCCCCCATTTATGACCCCCCCATTACGCGGCGCCCGATGGGTGAGCCAGCAGCTGGCGCCGGGCGCGCCCAACGCCAGCGTGCGCGTACCCGGGGGGGGCATGGCGACCGAGGCCCCTCTGCGCGTCGACCTCATCAGCGACGGCAAGGACGGCCTGCGCGAGAGCCTCGGCGGGGTGCTGAGCTCCGGGGGCACGATCCCGTACCAGGTTCCGGGGAGACTGAAGCGCGAGCTGGAGGTGAAGAAGCGCCCCTGGGCCATGTCCTCGGTCAAGGGCGCGCGGCTGCCCGTCGGAGAGGAGGGGGACCTCCTGGCTCGGGCCTTCCGCGCCCGGCAGAGGCCCGTGACGCTGCTGCCCTTCGAAAGGGGCGCCTGGCGCTGGCCGACGACACGGCTGGGGTACGTGCGGCCCGCAGCGCAGGGCGTCCGGCTCACAGCGAGGTCCGGGCAGCCCGCCCTGTTCGAGGCGGCGGTGGACCGCGACGGGGCCGCCCTGGCCGGCGGGGACGGTCTGAGCGCGAGGCTGCTGCCGGACGTGGGGTCGGCGAGGCCGCGGCTGGCGGAGAGCGCTGGGTGCGGCGACATCCGGAGCAGCCGGCAGGCGCCCCTGGACTTCGACACGGGCCTCAAGCTGCAGAGGCCCCGCGAGGGCACCGCCCTCCTCGCGCGCGTCCCGGAGGAGAACCTGGAGCCGCTGCAGGTGGTGAGGCACGAGATCGGCCAGCAGTACAACGCCCATCGCGACTGCGGGGACCCCAGGGAGTTCCCAGATGAGCGCATGTTCACCGACGCGGAGGGCCACTGGGGGCAGCGGCACGCCACGCTGCTGTGGTACCTGCAGGGCGACTCCGTCACGCCCGAGGGCGAGGGCATGGACTACACCGCCGCCGTCGCGAACACAATTAGGCCCGACTGCCACGCGCAGCAGAAGCCCTTCGAGGACGAGGTCTTGCTGGCACCCTTGCTCCTATGCCTGTCAGTCCCGCCTCCCTCTCCTCAGCTCTCCCACGCGCTGGTCAAGTTTGCAGGGGATGCAACCAGCGATGGGGCGCTGGCTGCCACGAATGTCCACGATGAGTTTGTGATCCAGTTTTGCTATCCTCCTCTCCCTCCTTTCTCCTGCTCTCCTCCCCCCTCTCCCGCTCCGATTCTGAATTCGGGGAGCTCGGAGGCGGTTGTGGTCATGTCACAGCGCCCTCAGTCCCGCAGACACAGCGCCTCTCTTTGCCTCCAGCCTCCTCTCCCTCCGAATGCGCTGAGCAGACTCTCTTCTCCCCCTGCCCTCTGTACCACTCTTCCTCTTGCTGGCCTGCTTGCCCGCACCCCCGCCGACCCCCACGACCCCAGACACCCGCGTGTGCTCGGCCGCAGGATCATCGACTCCCGACGCCCTATCCCGACCCGACGCCCTACCCGACGCCCAGCCCGACGCCCTACCCAACGCCCTACACCAGCCCGACGCCCCACCCCAGCACGGTTCCCGACCCGACACCCCACCCCAGCCCGACGCCCTACCTGACGCCCCACCCCAGCCCGACGGCCAACCCGACGCCCTACCCCATCTCGACGCCCTACCCGACGCCCTGCCCCGACCCGACGCCCTACCCGACGCCGTACCCCAGCCCGACGCCCTATCCGACGCCGTACCTCAGCCCGACGCCCCACCCCAGCCCGACGGCCTACCCGACGCCCTACCCCAACTCGACGCCATACCGGACGCCCTGCCCCGACCCGACGCTTTACCCGACGCTTTACCCCTGTTCTCAGAACCCAAACATGTTCTAAGAACAAAGCCAATGTTCTTAGAACATAAGCCCGATGTGGTAAAACAAGGCAATCTCCGCCAGAGATGTTCTAAGAACACTTCCTGGAAACCACAAAAGGCTCTTAGAACATCGTCTGCTGGGGCTACAGGCGAGCCAGGACGCTTCGCCACTGCGTGAATGCAAACTCAACAAACAAAAAACCAAGACGGTGCGGCGACAGGCCGTGCGGCGACCCCGAAGAGCCCCCCCCCCACGCGAGAGGCCTCGCCGCACGGGCTCCCGCCCCCGCGCACCCGGCGCCTCGGAGGCCCCCCCCCGGGGCGGCCCGAGTCCCGAAACCCGCGTGGCCGCCCCGACTCCCCACCGATCGAGCGGGGGATCGCCTACAGAACTGGTCAGCCCCGCAAGCGTTTTTTTTGTTGCTGTTGTTGTTGTTCGCTTCGTCGAGTCCCTACGGCAAAAATGCGCAGAAGGCCCCGCAGCTCTACGAGGCATGCTGCGCAGTCCCTCGCAGAGTGGAGGGGGGGGGGGAAAGTCGCGTTCGAAACATGCTAAAAACATGCTTCAACACTTTAGGACACTTACTTTAGACATGTTATAGACATCTGGCAGTTCTTCGGCAATATGACCGTTATGTCGGGCGTGCCCCCCTACAGGGGAGTTTTCGAAGAAAAATAAAAGATACCCCAAACATACCCCCAAAAGGCAACAAACATTCTCAGAAAATAGTCCCCAGACTATTTCCGGATTATTTGTTATTATCATTTTGGGGGTGGGGGATATTTATGTTTCGCCGAACATCCCCCTGTAGGGGGACAGGCCCGACTTAAATTGACCGCCTTCCACACTGCTCGAATCACCGCCTCGCGCGGCGCCCCGCCTCGCGAGGCGGACCGCGGGGCCGCCGCCACCCTCCCCCCTCTCCTCCGGGCAGGGCGCACCGCCCCGCCTCCGGCAACAGGCCCCCGCGGCCTGGAGTGAGGCCGGGCGTGTCCCCCTACGGGCGGATTTTGGAAGAACAGCTAAACATACGCAAAAACACGATTCCCAACCAACGAATAAAAAATTCTCTTGAACATAGAAAGCACAAGTCCGAGCGATGCCACGACAACTAGGTGGATATTTCGGGGGAAAAATCACCGACCTCGACATGAACTCTTTAGCTGTGGCTGTGGTCGATTTGGCCGTTCCGGGACGCCACATCGACCACAACTGGTAATTACGAAGCTGGCCTCGGTGTTTCAGCATTTTCTGGCATGCGCAAGACATTCCCCAGAGTGCGTCTCGATGTGGTAGTGGTCGCTTCTTGTCCATGCATTTCATCCTCAGGTCTTCCAAGCCGGTCCCCAGAACTCCCGACCCCCTGCCCAGGAGTAGCTTTTACTTTCGTCCCCGACCCATGCTCGAGAGCCCCACGGCACGATTGACGGGGCCCAGAGGTTGAAATCCACGAAACTTGGAGGCCTGGAAATGGGCACCAACACCAACACAGGGGCTTGCCTCCGCAGGGGAAAGATGATCCTAGATTTCGGTGTCGGCGGCAGTACTTCGGCCACTCTGGCAGCCAGAATATTACCACCATCACCGAGGTCGGGATCCTCTTCCCTCGGTGGAGGCACACCGCCGAAAGTGGTGCTGGTGTCAACCTCTGGGCCTGTGAAGCACGCCCAAATTTGAGCAGGGACCGACCGTCCCGGCATTCCCATAGTCCTACCACGAAATGTTCTTAGAACCCAAAAATGTTCTAATAACAAAAACAAGGCTCTTAGAACATAAACCCGATGTGCTAAAACAAGACAGACTCCGCCAGAAATGCTCTAAGAACATTGCGTGGAAACCACGAAAGGTTCTCAGAACATTGTTTGGTAGGGATATAGGCACGCCAGGACGCTTCGCCACTGCTTGATCAAAACTGCGAAGCACGCCCAGATACTGGGAGTGGCCAAGAGGGGGGTGTCCAAGAGGGGGGGGTGCAAATCATGGCCGGCGGCATGTGCGCGGCCCAGCGGGGGGGCCAGGGACGTACTGAAATGAGAAGGCGCGCCATGGAATCTGGGGAAACGTCCTGGCCCACGCCACGATATCCCCCCCCCTAATTAGTCATCACCCCCCTGTCTGCCGCCCCCGAAGCTGGAAACAATCATATATATATATATACACATATATATATATATATGTATTCCTCTTCCTATATTTGTATAAGCCCGGGCGGGGGGAAAACCCGTCCCCCCCCCCCCCCTAAAACCGGACCCCCGGGATCTGCAGCTTTGGGACCCTCTGGACGGGCCTCGAAGCGGCCCCCTGGGCCTCGCAGGGCGTTTTGCCAAGCCTTCGCAGCACACCCAGGGCGATCAGGGGGGTCACCGGAGACGTCCCAGAGACCCCCAAGACAGCACAAGAGCGCCCCAAGAAGCCAGCATACCCTGAAAGATCGCTCCAAAACGTATCAAATGGCCTCCAAGAGCACGCCCAAGGCGGCCCCAAGAGGGAAAAATCATTGATTCTATGTAGGTTTTTGGTGCATTTGGGGTTCTCTCCTCTTTTCGGCTTCCCGACGCTCCAAGACGGCGGTCTCCTAGGTGTCCGAAGCCGCCTGGGAGGCTCCATAATCGCCACACAAACATCCGAAAGGCCTTCCAGGCAGTCCAAGAGAGCCCCACAACGGCACAACAGGGGTCCAAGATGGCCTTCAGAGAGCACCATGGCGGCCCAAGATGGCCCCAAGACACCCTCCGAAGCATTCCAAATCGTGACTGGGGCGTTCAGGGAAACCTCGAATAGAGGCAGGTTGGCCTTAGGAAGCCCCAGAGGCTCCCAGAACACACCCAGGAGGCCTCCAGAAGGCTTTAAAAAAGCCTGAGAACTTTGGTGAGGCCCCCAGAGGCTCTCCAAGGAGGAGCCTCCGCAAAAGGAGCTGAGGAGGATGGGGAGAATGCCCAGGGTATGGCGAGAATGAAGAAAAAGAAGTATGGAGGAAGGACAACGAACGACATTAGTTATTGTAACGGCGATGCCAGAAAAGGCAACAAGGAGTTATCGCCAAATCGTCGGCTTGACCTTCCTGCCATTTCCGCCTGCACACCAAACTTCAAGGACCAAGGTGCATGGCGCGAAGCGCCACTGTCCTCCTCAGCTTTTTTTTGCGGAGGCTCCTCCCGGGAGAGCCTCTGGGGGCCAACAAAAAATTGTTCAGGCTTTCTTAATACCTTCTGGAGGCCTCCTGGGCGTATTCTGGGGGCTTCCTCGGGCCACTCTGCCTCCAACCACGGTCTCCCTGAACGTCCTGGTCACAATTTGGAATGCTTCGGAGGGTGTCTTGGGGCCATCTTGGGCCGCCATGGGGCTCTCTGAAGGCCATCTTGGACCCGTGTTGTGCAGTTTTGGGGCTCTCTTGGACTGCCTGGAAACCTTTTCGGATGGTTGTGGGGCGATTATGGAGCCTCCCAGGCGGCTTCGGACGCCCAGGAGACCGCCGTCTTGGAGCGTCGGGAAGCTGAAAAGAGGAGAACCCCAAAATTCAAAAAAACAAAAAAAAAAACTAACAGAAAATCAATGATTTATGCCTCTTGGGGGGCTCTTGGAGGCCTCTTTGGGGCCGTCCTGCAGGCCTCTTGGGCCATCTTGAGGTCACGTCGGTCACTCTTGGAGCGCTCTTGCGCTGTCATGGGGGTCTCTGAGACGTCTCCGATGACCCCCCTGATCGCCCTAGGTGTGCTGGGAAGGCTTGGCAAAACACCCTGCGAGGCCAGGGGGGCCGCTTCGAGGCCCGTCCGGAGGGTCCCGAAGCCCCAAATCCCGGGAGTCCGGTTTTTTTTTTGGGGGGGGGACGGGTTCTCCCCCCGCCCGGGCTTATGAAAATATATAGGAAGAGGAATATATCGTCGGGCGTCCGGGGCTGTCCTCAAAACCGCGGGGGCGGCGGCGCACCCAACGCGCGGCCAGCGCCGCCCGGCTGTACGTCAGGCTCCCCGGCGGCAGCTCCACGCGCTCGGCCGCCATGCCCGCGGCCTGCGGGCGCGGGGGCGCGCCGCCTCCCCGCCGGGCCGCGGCGGCGCGCCGCCCCCTGGCGCCAGGGCGGGGGCGGCCGCGCGGTTCCTCGGGGGGGGCGGGGGGGGGCGGGGGGGCCACGAAGCCTCGGCGCACCAGGGCGTCCCTCGCCCCTGGATCCAGACCCCCTCGAGTCAGGAAGAAATAACGACGGGAGGTTTTTCCTGATTTTCGGCCTCCGGCGGCCCTCACCGGGCCTCGGGAGCGTCAAAACACGATTCAGGATGCAAAGCCGGTCATGGGGAAAGGGTCGGGACCTCTGGGGGTCGACGTAATGGACAAATAATTACGTCGGGGGTCTGGGATGTATGTTGCCCCCATCGTACTGATAAGGACGCATCACAGCAATGAGTTCGAGCACCCAGGAGGGTGTCGAAGCAGTGTCGCACGCGTATCGCCTCCCGCGGGGCCCGACGCGTGAGAACTCTCCGGTTTCGGTACGTTCGTGGTGCACGACATTCTTTGTGGTGATCGAGGCTAAAGTAGGTTGGAACATCATAACCCTGGATGCGGGCCCAGCGCCGACCCCAGGAAGCCGCGCTCCTCCCGAGCGTCTCCGTTTTCACGCGGCTCCTGCTGCCGAGGCAGGCCTCGGAGACAGACGGCGGACACTCGTCCCACATGCAGCTGCCGACGCCTCCACCTCCCCCCAGTGATCAAAGTTGCCGGTGGGTCTGACGAGTTGCACCTCCACCGCAGCCTCCCCCGCGCGTGTCAACTCTGAGTTTGGGGGGAGGGAGAGTGCGCAGCAGTTGTTTCCCTCTACCGGGTGTTGGGTTCCTCGAGCCTCGGCCTCGGGGGGGGGGGGACGTCGACCCCCGGACCTACCCGGTGCTGCGCTCTGTGAAGGGGCCCTGGGACACACAAATAAATACACACACAGGTCCGCGATGCCACAAGATCGCTCCCAAACCTCCGAGATGGCGCCTAGACGCCCCGAGAGGCCTCCAAGAACCCTCCCAAGAGAGCCTCCAGGGGCAAACAGTGATGATTTTCCGTTGGTTTTCTCATGATTTTGGCTTCTCCGCCTCATCGGCTTACCAGCGCTTCAAAACGGCCCAATAGGCCCCCCCAAGATCCTCCCAACACGGCCCAAGAGGACTCCAAGAGGGCCCCCAAACGGCTCCAGCGGGCTCCAAGAAAGCACCAGAGGCCTCCAAGATGGCCCAAGAGGCCCCCAAGACATCCCCGAGAGCAGGCCCAGACGGGGACCCGAACGGAGATTTCGAGCGCCCCGAGAGGTCCCCAGGATGCCCCAAGACGCCCCCAAGAAGCTCCCAAGAGGCCCCAAGAGACCCCCTAGAGGCCGCCAAGAGGCCCCCAAGAGGCCCCAGAGAGGCCCCAGGAGACCGTGACCCCGTCCGACGCCTGATCCTCGTTGCGTTAGGCTTCCCAAAGTCAGCTGCAAAATGCCTGCAGCTCATCCGCATGTACACACATACGCCCCCACTGATGCGCACTACCAAATACATAAATTCGCTGGCCCAACGGGCCAGAGGCGTGCTAAGATCTCCGGTAACAGGTTAACAATGTTTCTAGTTCGTGCGCGCGGGGTCCCCGAGCGAAAAGTACCCCCAGCAAGTCCCGGCAAGTCCCGGCAAGTCCCCGGCAAGTCCCCGGCAAGTCCAGGCCAGAGATGCCAGACCAGGCAATTTTTCGACACCGCTCGCGAGGATCGTGGCCTCCGAGGGGAAGGCGCCATCGACTCCCCCCCCTCCTGCCCCAAGAAGCGGCCAACAGGCTCCGAAGGAGCCAAGCGGCGCCCAAGAGGCCCCCCAAGAGGCCGCAAAGAGGCCCCCACGAGGCCCCAAAGAGCGCTCCATGGGGGCCGGCGGAATGAGCGAAGCAATTCAATAAATACACACAAATCACAGGATACCCCATATTTTCCCACATTTTCTGGGTGTTTGTCTCCCCCCCCGCTTCCCATAGTTCCCCCTATTTTCCTGGGAGTCGGCGATTCCTTGTTTTTTTGTGCGTTTCTCTCCCTCCCGGCTCTGACCGGGACACCAGGGCGCCCGTGCGTGGCCACGAGGGCGCCCCCCCCAGAGGCCCGGGGTGGCCCCCGCCCCCACACTCCCGAAATGAGCGGCGGCGCGCAGAGGGCGGGCAGGGGGAGGGGGGCAAGCTTCTCAGAAGGAGGCTGCTTCTTAGAAGGCGCCGGCCTTACATCTGTAGACAAGGCCCGCGCCTTCTAACCCTGAGATCCGACGTTGCAGAAAAATTGCAACAGCGCCAAAAACCACGCCTGGAGACCCGGACCTCATCTTTCCGCGTCATGTTTCGAGCCCGATCGATCTGTGAGAGTCCCGGGGCCTGAAATCGAGCGAAAACGCCCGTTGCAAAAAAAGAAGCAGGGGTGCTTCTAAGAAGCCTTCCCCCCTCCCCATACCCCCCTGTGCGCGCCGCCAACAACACCCGACCCTCGAAACTGATCCCTGGACCCGAGCGGAGCTCTTGCCCATCAGGGCGAGCAGCGAGCCCTGTGCAGAGTGGGCGAGGACTGGGCGCCAGCGGTCGCCCCCATCCTTTCCGCGCACGCCTCCCGTCAGGTCGGGCACGTCACCTTCCAGGCGGATTCTGGACGAAAAACTCGCCGGCCCAACGGGCCAGAGGCGTGCTAAGATCTCCAGTAGCTGCTTAACAATTTTTCTGGTCCGCGCGCGCGGGCCCCCTGGAAGAAAAGTACCCTGGCTGATCCCTGGCCGGATCCCGGGCGATCCCCAGGGGGGAGGCTATTTTTCGCCACCCCTCACGAGGATCGTGGCCTCCGAGGGGGTGGCTGCAATCGACAACCCCCCCTCCCGCCCCAAGGGGCCCCCAAGAGCCCCCTAAGAGGCCCCAGGGGAGCCCAAGTTGCCACCACGGAGCCCCAAGACGCTCCCAAGAAGCCCCCAAAAGGCCCTCAAGACGGCCCCAAGAGGCCCCAAATAGCGCTCCAGGGCCAGCGGAATGAGCGAAGCGATTAAATACAGCATATCCAAACAAATGCTCAAAAGCTGTCAAAAATATTCGAAAAATCATCCCCAGACTATTTTTGGACTATCTCTGAATCCTCATCCTGCAGAGGGACAGGCCCGACTTAACCCTTCCGATCGCACCGAGGGTTGGAGAGAGCGAGCGAGCACATGAGCAGTGTCACGCCGGTTGGACGACCCCACATCAGCGTGTTACCATGGAACCTGCGATAGGTTTAGATCGGGCCTGTCCCCCTACAGGGGGATTTTCGGCAAAAAACAAAAACTACCCAAAACATGCCGAAGAGAGGCCCCAAAATACTCAAAACATAGTGCCCAGACGATTTTTCTACTGTTTTTCAATTTTCCCCCTGCAGAGGGACAGGCCCGACTTAGCGATAGGTCTTACTAAAAACCACGTCCCAGGAATGACTTCGAGCACCCGGAAAAGCGTCGAACGAGCGCGTCCCCGGGCACGACGCGCGGAGACCGCCGAGTTTCGGTGTTTCCTTGGTGCTCGAGTTGCTTGGGCCAGAAAATCTAGAATCAAGTCGGATCTGTCCCCCCAGGGGGATCTTGGACGAAACAATAACAAAGCCCCGAAACATATTCAAAAGATGCCCCAACGTACTCAACAAATAAGCCCCAGACTATTCTTTGACTGTTGTTGAATATTCCCCCTGTAGAGGGACAGACCCGACTTAAATCTAGGAGTAGGCTGGAGCATCACAAGGGCAGGCTGCTGTTAGAGGAGCGAGAGAGAGGGCGTCGCACGCACAAGTGCGGAGGCGGCGCGCGTGCCACTCGAACTCGTATATCCGATGGGGCAACGCTCAAGTCGGGCATGTCCCCCTGCAGGCGGGCTATGGGCGGAAAACAAGTGGCAAGCGTGCCCTGGCTCTTGCACTAAGGAGCCGCGAGAGACAGGAGGCTTTCGCCTCCTTCCTCCAGGATTTTATTTTTGTGGCCGCCGGGGGGGGGGGGGGACGAACGACGAACGAAGGACGACGACGAACGAAAATAAAGAGGTCCGAGCTCCAGAACACAGCTGCGCAAGATAACGAAGGGTCCAGGGCGAGGGGGACTGGGGCCAGGGCCGGGGGGGGGGAGGCTGGGTCCAGGGCCAGGGCCAACGGAGGGAGGGCGGGCGGGGGCGACGACGACGCCGAAAATAAAGTCGTCGGGGCGGAGGGGGCGGTGCGCTGGGCTGGGCTGCTGGGGAGAAGGGGAGGGGGGGGGCGACGACGACGCCGAAATAAAATGGTCGGGGCGAAGGGGGCGGCGCGCTGGGCTGCTGGGGAGAGGGCGAGGGGGGGGGTGGGGCGACGACGACGCCGAAATAAAGTGGTCGGGGCGAAGGGGCGGGCGCGCTGGGCTGCTGGGAGAAGGCGATGGGCGGGGGGGGGGCGACGACGACGCCGAAATAAAGCGGTCGGGGCGCAGGGGGCAGCGCGCTGGGCTGCTGAGGAGAGGGAGGGAGGGCGGGGGGGGCGACGACGACGCCGAAATAAAGTCGCCGGGGCGGAGGGAGCGGTGCGCTGGGGTGCTGGGGAGCGACGCATAGCGACACATGTCGACACAACGCCGAAATAAAGTGGTCGGGGCGGAGGGGGCAGCGCGCTGGGCTGCTGAGGAGAAGGAGAGGGGGGGGAGCGACGACGACGCCGAAATGAAGTCGTCGGGGCGGAGGAGGCGGTGCGCGGGGGTGCTGGGGAGCGACACATAGCGACACATGTCGGCACATATCGACATATAGAGACATGCAGCGACACACACACACACATGTCGACGCATAGCGACACACAGCGACACATAGCGACGCACACATGGAGACGCATAGCGGCACACAGCGACACAGACACATATAGCGGCACATGAAGGGCACAAGGCACACAGCGACACATATAGCGACACATGAAGGGCACAAGGCAGCTGGGGGGGAGCGACGACGACGCCGAAATAAAGTGGTCGGAGCTCTAGACACCCTGTGCAAGAGTATAAAATTACCCTGTGACGTACCCAACCCATTTGTATCATGGGAAACGAGGATTTGGCCGAAACTTGCACGGACAATCAAATTGCAGGATCCGTTGCTTGATATGTAAGCTAATTTGGACACGCGCCAATGGAATGATGCGCAGGAGAACCATACAAGAACGAGGGGCAGCAACTACAGGCTCGAAGAAGACATGGGGGGAGTCGGGAACGAAGAGCAAGAGAAAGACGTGCGGGGAGCCCATTGTGCTGGGCCCCCCAGCAGCCCTCGAAAGTGGCGACAGTTTCACAGATCGCAGCCCCCCAAGGATGGCGAGGTCCCATTTGCATCCGCCGTGTGTACCCACTGTGCTGGGCCCCCCAGCAGCCCTCGAAAGTGGCGACAGTTTCACAGATCGCAGACCCCCAGGGATGGCGAGGTCCCATTTGAATCCGCCGTGGGTACCCACTGTGCTGGGCCCCCCAGCAGCCCTCGAAAGTGGCGACAGTTTCACAGATCGCAGCCCCCAGTGATGGCGAGGTCCCATATGAATCCTCCGCGGGTGCACACTGTGCTGGGCCCCCCAACAGCCCTCGAAAGTGGCGGCAGTTTAACAGATCGCAACCCCCCAGGGATGGCGAGGTCCCATTTGAATCCGCCGCGGGTGCACACTGTGCTGGGCGCCCCAGCATCCCTCGAAAGTGGCGACAGCTTCACAGATCGCAGCCCCCCAAGGATGGCGAGGTCCCATTTGAATCCGCCGCGAGTGCACACTGTGCTGGGCCACCCAGCAGCCCTCGAAAGTGGGGCCGACAGCTTCACAGATCGCAACAAAGCACAAAACCAAGCCACGCAGGACAATATAGGAACAGCTCCCCAGGGATGGCGAGGTCCCCCCATTTGAATACGCCGCGAGTGCACACTGTGCTTGGCCCCAGCCCTTCGAAAGTGGCTACAGTTTCACAGATCGCAAAGGCCACCCCAGTGATGGCGAAGGTTGGTCCCATTTTAAATCCGCCGCGATGTGCAAACTTGTGCTGGGCCCCCCAGCAGCCCTCGAAGTGGCGACAAAGCTTCACAGATCGCAGCCCCCCCAAGGATGGTCGAGGTCTCATTCGAAATCCGCTGCGATGCAACACTGCGCTGGGCCCCCCAGCAGGCCTCGGAAGTGGCGACAGTTTCGCAGATCGCAGCCCCCCAGGGATGGCGAGGTCACATTTGAGTCCGCCGCGGGTGCAGACTGTGTTGGCCCCCCCTGCAGGCTTCGAAAGTGGCGACAGTTTCACAGATCGCAGACCCCCCAGGGATGGCGAGGTCTAATTTGAATCCGCCGCGGGTGCAGACTGTGCTGGGCCCCCCCAGCAGGCCTCGAAAGTGGCGACAGTTTCGCAGATCGCAGCCGCCCCCCCAGGGATTGCGAGGTCCCACTTGAATCCGCTGCGAGTGCACACTGTGCTGGGCCCCCCAGCAGCCCTCGAAAGTGGCGACAGCTTCACAGATCGCAGCCCCCCAGGGATGGCGAGGTCCCATATGAATCCTCCGCGGGTGCACACTGTGCTGGGCCCCCCAACAGCCCTCGAAAGTGGCGACAGTTGCACAGATCGCAGCCCCCCAGGGATGGCGAGGTCCCATTTGAATCCGCCTCGAGTGCACACTGTGCTGGGCCCCCCAGCAGCCCTCGAAAGTGGCGACAGTTTCACAGATCGCAGCCCCCCAGGGATGGCGAGGTCCCATTTGAATCCGCCGCGAGCGCACACTGTGCTGGGCCCCCCAGCAGCTCTCGAAAGTGGCGACAGCTTCACAGATCGCAGCCCCCCCAGGATGGCGAGGTCCCATTTGAATCCGCCGCGAGTGAACACAGTGCTGGGCCCCCCAGCAGCCCTCGAAAGTGGCGACAGTTTCACAGATCGCAGCCCCCCAGGGATGGCGAGGTCCCATTTGAATCCGCCGCGAGTGCACACTGTGCTGGGCCCCCCAGCAGCCCTCGAAAGTGGCGACAGTTTCACAGATCGCAGCCCCCCAGCTGGCACGCAGCGACGAGCGAGGCGAAAGGCAAGGGGGAAGAAAGGGGCGGGAGGGGGCGGGAAGGAAGTGAGGAAGGCGACACGCGAGCAGTGCTCTAGTCAAAACGAGAACCCAACGCAGGAGGGTTGGGAAATACGCCAAAAATATTCAAATATACAGAAAGGATAGTCAAAACATCGGCCCCAGACTATTTTTGAATATTCCCCCTGTAGAGGGACAGGCCCGACTTAACGCCAGGGGGAGGCAAGCTCCAGGGGGAGGCATCGAGCCCGAGTCGGCTGGGAAGCCGCCGAGGACCACCGGCCGAACGCCTGGAACCTTGAGTGCGAGGCGGGGATTTATCCGCATCCACCGCCTGGGCACCGACGTCCTGGTGCCCCAGCGGGCGGTGGACATGGATATAGTTTGGCCCCCGGGGGCCCGAATATGTCCACATCCAGCGCCTGCCAGGGTCCCCAAAAAATTGACCCTCCAGGCGGGTGTCGTGTAGAAATTCCCGCCTCGGATCGAAGCCGTTCGAACCCCTCCCGAGAGGAGGAAGAAGAGGAGGGGGGGGGAAGGGAGAGGAGGAGGAGGAGGAGGAGGAGGAGGAGGAGGAGGAGGAGGACGCAGGGGAGGAGGCTGGAGGATGAGGAGGAGAGGCTGAGGGAGGGAGGAGGGGGAAAGGAGGAGGGGGAGGAAGAGGAGGAGGGATGGGAGGAGGAAGGAGGGGAGGAGGAGGAGGAGGTGGAGGAGGAGGAGGAGGAGGAGGGGAGGAGGTGGAGGAGGAGGAGAGGAGGAGGATAAGGGAGGAGGAGGAGAGGGGGAGGAGGAGGCGGAGGGAGGGATGAGGGAGGAGGAGGAGGGAGGATGAGGTGGAGGTGGAGGTGGAGGTGGAGAGGGCAAGGGGAAGGGGGAGGGGGAAGAGGAAAGAGGTGGAGGAGAGGAGGAGGAGGAGGAGATGAGGGGAGGGAGGAGGAGGAGGGGCTGATGAGGTAGCGATGTGGATCTGCGACGGGCGGAGGAGGAGGAGGAGGAGCCCCCGCACCCGTCCGGGGAGCGCCCCGCTGCTCGCCAGCGGATCGCCCGCCCACCATGGCCGGCCCTCGCCCCCCCGCAGCCCTCTGGACGCCCGAACTGGGAGCGGGAAAAAGGGTACTGCTCCTCTTCCTCCCTCCTCCTCCCTCCACCTACCTCCTCCCTGCCTCCCTCCGCCCTCGCCTCCCGTCCCTCCCTCCTCTCCCCTCCCTCCCTCCCTCCCTCCACTCCCCACCTCCCCCCTCCCTGCCTCCCTGCCTCCTCCTCCTCCTCCTCCTCCTCCTCCTCCTCCTCCTCCTCCTCCTTGGGTCGCCTACGGCCCCTGGGGAAACCGTGCAGCCCCTGGGGAAACCGCGCAATACAGCGCGACGATCAAAAACGGGTCGTACGCGAGATGACGCAGCGACCTTACGCCGCAGCTTGCGCGGGCCGCCCGCGCGGCACGCCGCATTTGAAGCAAGGGCGCTTATGCACGACCTTGCGCTGGCAGCTTACGCGCCAATCTTGGCGAAGACGATCGCGTTATTCTTATTGGCTCAAATGCTGTCCAGAACCAACAGCGGCCGCGGTTGGGCAGGCGACCGTCTGCCTCAAATGTACACCGTGCGCGGCGACACCGACGTCCAGCCCTGTTTAAAATGCGGTGGGAGCTCGACCACAAGAAACTTCACACGAAAAAACAAACCCTGAGACCCCAGGGCGACCATTGATTCTTGGTGTGGGAACGCCACGCTCTCCATGGCAAAACCATCGAAGCCCAAGAAACCCAGAGCACCCTGGAGACAAGCAGGGTGTTTTTGGGTGACCCGAAAAGGGGTCCAGCTGAAAAAGGGTGGTGCAATAGATTTAGGGCAATTGTACTGCACATGTACTGCGCCGGAGAATTGTATTGCATTGTTTCGCAACTATTGTACTGCACGCGAAAGTCCAGCAATACATCTGCGCCCCGGAATGTACTTATTGCACGCCCTCAGTGTATTGCAACTCCACAATATCTACTGCACCGGACCTATTGCACCACCCCCTTGTCGCTGGATCCCCTTTGGGGTCAACCCGATCCACTGTAGACAAGAATCGGGGAGACGTAAGACTCAGGTTAGGGGGGCTCGGGTTGGCCCGAAGGGACCATCATGAAAATGACGCGACCCAGTCCGAAATTCGACGCGGGCTCCCGCTGCCAACGTCCCACGAAGACTGGACCCTCAAAATGCAGGACGCGCACGCCAAACGACGTCCGCAAACCCGAGTTCCGGCTTACTCGAGTCTTATTGAAGGGGCCCTGGGACACACACACACACACACACACACACACACACACACACACACACACACACACACACACACACACAAATACACCCACAATTAACAAGATTCTCCATATGTTCCAATATTTTCCGGGCTTTTGTCTCCTGCCCCCCTTCCCATATTTTCCCAATATCCTGGGGAATCGACGACTCATTGTGTCTGTGTGTTTTTGTTTCCCCTCCTGACTTGCGCTTCCCCGGGGAAACAACCGTCGGGCTTCGCGCCCCCTCTTCCCATGCCCACTCCGGCCGCCCCGCCACCCGTTGAGCAGGGACCGACCGTCCCGGCATTCCTGTAGTCCTACCACGAAATGCTCTTGGAACCCCAAAACGTTCTGAGAACAAAAACAATGCTCTCAGAACATTAGCCCGATGCGTTGAACAAAGACAGTCTCCATCAGAAGTGTTCTAAGAACATTCCGTGGAAGCCACAAAAGGTTCTCAGAACATTGTTTGGTGGGGCCACCAGGCGAGCCAGGACGCCTTCGCCACTGCTTGAACCCGAGGTGATAACACCCGATGCGACAAAACAAACCAGGCCCCGCCAGACATGTTCTGAGAACATGCTGTGGAAGCCACAAAAGGCTCAAAGAACATCGTATGGCGGGGCCACCAGGCGAGCCAGGACGCCTTCGCCGCTGCCTGAACCCGATGTGATAAAATCCGATGTGATAAAACAAAACAGGCTCCGCCAGACATGCTCTGAGAACATGCTGTGGAAGCGCGCACAAGGGGGTGGGGGGAGGGGGGGGGGCCTTCTTATAAGCAGTCTGCTTGTCTTTAGAAGGCGCCGGCCTTACATCTATAGATAAGCCCTGCGCCTTCTAAGAAGCAGGGGTGCTCTAAGAAGCCTCCCCCCTCCCCCCATCCCCCCTCTGCGCGTGGCTGAATGCTGTGGAAGCCACAGAAGGCTCTCAGAACACCGTCTGGTAGGGCCATAGGCGAGCCAGGGCGCTCTCGCCACTGCTTGCACCCCCTGAGCTCGCGGGCGCCCCGCGGGCCGCTCCCGCGCTCCCCCTCCATAATCGGGCGTGGCTTGAAATGGGGGGGTCACAAATGGGGGGGTCAGAAACGGTCCCCTTTCGTGCCCCTTTCGGGCCCCTCCAGAGCCCCAGGGGGCTCGTTTAGGTACCGTTTGGGTACCTTTTCGGGCCACCCTCGCCACACCCCCATTTATGACCCCCCCAATTACGCTGCGCCCA